GTTTCCATTTCCTAAAATGGGGAAAGCTCTCAGCAAACAAGCCTAGTTTTCCAGATAGCTGTTGTGCTTCCTATTCCCATGTCTCTCTAGTGGCGCCAAAAATAATAATCTGTGAGCAAACTGCTGTTCAATCACAATGCCTTCCTTTTTTGATAGGTACAGAGGCAGAAGTACCATGCTTGCACACCGCTTGTTTTAAAAGGGCCAAGCTAAAGTGGCACAGGCCTGTGCCTTTGAATGGAGATCACTGCCTGGCAGATACACATTTGAGGTGATGATGTGGAGCTGGAAGGAGATGTTGCTCCATTATTGCAGAGCAGGAAAACTGATTTTTTAAAAAAAATTACAAAAACTAAATGTGTAATAGTTACACCCCTAAAATATTATTTCTCTGCCCCTATTAAGCCATGCCAATTTGCATCCATGGGAGATGCAGTGAATCCCAGTATTACCCATCTGGAGGAACCCGTCCTGCACCGACAAAACAGCACTCCGAACAGCCATGACAGTCACTTCAAGCCAATGAGTTATCCCTCCCCCCCACACACACACACAAAACTCTCCACAAAAGCAGAGGCAATCCATTTTAAAATTCAACTACATTTGCATTGCTCTGCTGGCAGTGGGTAAGGCTGGGAGGGGTTCAATCCATGCAAGTTCAGGATTAGTCCATCAGATTAGGGATGGGGAGACCTGGTTACATTCCGCCATGATACTCACTGCGTAACCCCAGGCCTTAGGTACCTTAGATGACCCTAAGGTAAGCCTTAGCTTACCTTACAGGGGCACTGAGACTAAAATGCAGGCAAGAAGAACCACTTGAAAAAGGGTGGAATTTTTAAAAGAGAGAAGTGTCAAGAGCAAGGCATTCAAACAAAGCCAGCATCTACTAGTAGAACTAGATGTAGAAATATAGCCTATACACACACAAAAGAGCAATCCTAAACTGGTCTGCTCAGAATCCTAAAGTCTATTCAATGGGGCATACAAGGGAGTTGTTTTATGCAGTGGCCCTTCAGTGGAGGAAACAGAAAGACACAGGATGGTTTTTTTAAGGGGGGCAGTGAGTTTCATAATATCCCCACCAATACTAATAAATATTTCATTTGACATAATTCAGGATCAATTCATTAATCTCTCCTTTGATTTTATGGCCACATTTCCCCATTTGTTTGGGGCTGAACCTATTCCAAAATTATGGACCCAGATTTAGCCCCTCACCAAATCAAGAAGAAGAGGAGATTGGATTTATACCCCGCCCTTCACTTGGAGTCTCAGAGCGGCTTACAAACTCCTTTCCCTTCCCCTCCCCACAACAGACACCCTGTGAGGTGGGTGGGGCTGAGAGAACTCTGACACAAACTGCTCTTTTTCAAGGACAGCTGTGCCAGAGCTTGTGACTGACCCAAGGTCACATCAGCAGGTGCAAGTGGAGGAGTGGGGAGTCAAACCCGGTTCTCCCAGATTAGAGTCCGCACACTCAACCTCTACACCAAACTGGCTCTCAAATCAACAGGAATATCAATGTCTGGACAACCTGCTGTCACTTTTATTTGTATAAAACAGATTCACAACATGTCTTTGCTAAGCCTCAACTCTTACAGGTCCCAAAACGTGGTTGGAAGATGCATGATGGAGTCATGTGGGTGGGATGGCCTGGATGGAAGACAGGGTTCCCAATGCTGCCTGGGTAAATGCTGGGAGATTGGGGGAGGGGGATGGAGAGGATGTAGTTTAGGAAGGATGGTGATGCCACTTCTGGGTAATACTGTAGGAGTTTCCTCTAATTTCTATATGATGGAAACCAGGGGAAATCCATGGAGCATCACTATGGAGGTCATTTTTTGCCCTGCTCCGCAATTTCTTGAGTACAGGATATTGGAACTGGGGGCAGCAAGGAATCCCCTATCAGGCCTGGGAAATCAGGAAGCCTAATGGGAGACCGTCTTGAGCTCCATGTAGAAGATTTTTGTGATATACATGTAATAAATAAATAAAGATGTTACATGATCACCAACAAAATGGAAAAAACCAGCCACTCATTATTTATCATGTTGATTGTGTGTATTATACTGTTCTTAATGCACTATTTTGAGTCTCAGCATGAAAGGCAAACTAGAAGTAGAGACCATTGCACTTAAAGTTTAGTATAATGCAGTCAATAAAGCAGGGATTCCACAAATGGAGAACAATGCAGTGAAACAATATATTACATATAATAAGCAATGTAATAAAACCGGATTACAAAATTAGGGAACAATGTAATAAACATAGCATAATATATACAATGAAGATTGCCTTAAATTCCACAGATATTAATTCCAAACTTATTCACTTTATAAGAATGCCCTCCTGAGCAATTCCATTTTACATATACTGCAAAATGGTGGGAATATGGGAGCTTTTCTTTGCTGAGAGTCTGTCACAAATTGGGGCTGTTTTTTGTAATTGTATTATCAGTCTGAGGGGATAGCCACACAATACACAGAAATGTATATAAGAGCACCAATTCCATTTTTTAAATTATCAATCTGAGGGGGGTTTGTAATGGAGAAGTGGAGAGGCTTACTGATGGAGCAAGTCCCACCATGTTCAGTAGGACTTACTCCTATGTATGATGTGTTGAGCACATCATTTTTCCAGAACAAAATGATGTAGCAAGAATCTAGATTAAGATCAGGATTGTCAGGGCAAATATTCCAGTTATTCCTGTATCCAACTGCATATTCCAAAAACAGGCTCTTAATAGTACAATCCTACACAGGTCTATTCAGTAGGGCTTACTCACATGAAAGTGTTTTTAGGATTACACCGTTAGTATTTTAAGATGAAGTGGCAATTTAAATGGATTCAGCCTTCTGCTAGAGTCCATTGAGCCACTGAAAGTTTGTTCTTAGGGGATCAATGGACCCTCAGGAATACAGGGGCAAAAAGAGGAAATGCAGTGTGTGGGGGGGAACAGTGGAAACCACCATGCCCTCTTAAGAAAATTTGAGTGCTCTTACGTCTTTGAAATATGCAATCAACCCAGGCCAGTATCTCCGCAAGTATGTGATTTAAGGAACACTTCTGAAGGTGAACTCACAATCAAAATGATTTCAGTTTTGTATATTATGTTGTTTTAATTGTATATTATATTGTTTTAATATCTCTGCAAGGTACAGGCCC